CCCGGAATCGCGGCGGGGCAGGGGAGAGCCTCGGCCCCAGCCAGCCGCGCAGGGAACGGCGGAGGGGTGGGGTTTGTGTCCTGCTCGGAGAAGCAGAGCAGAATGTTTGTCTTTCTTATCTCAGAAAGGAAACCTATGGGAAATGCGATGCTGTATTCCCCACTGTTCTCCTGTCATATAATTATAATGCATTATGCAAAGCAAAACCTTTTGGAAAATCAGTAGGGCTAATGAGAAGACAGTCCCTGCTTAGGAGGTGCTTTGCTTTTCTTCCTAAATTCCACAAGTCTCATCTGAGGAGCCATTAGTACAAAAACAAAAGATGAGCTACACGTTTGCGTCAGGAAAGAACGAGGCAGCCTGAGAGCCCCGTGGCATTAGGAGAATACTTGTTGCACAAGGCAAATCTCTTTTCCCCAGATAACGGACCCAGGCCAGATTTTTTTCGGACTTCAAAGGAAGAACACAGTAGGGCCTTACCACTGCCAAATTGCTAAGTGGAATAAAAAATTGTGATTTTGCCATTAAATACTTGGTAGAAATTCAAGACTTTAAAAAAAAAAACAACAAACCCAGTGATGCTATTGCATTCTATACTGGAAAAGGATTAATTAGAATTTCAAAGGCTCTAAGCGGTCACTGGAGAAGAACCCGTGCACATAGCATTTCTGCGCCACGATGCCCAGCTTACCGCATTTATGATCACAAACCCCGCCAAGCTACATTCTACGTACTGTGAGGCCAGCGCAGACGATAACAAAGCAGCATCTAACACTGATGATCAGTATGTGCCTTACATTCTGCCAACAGAATTTGCCCTTGAAGATTCACTAAAAGCTCACAGTATTTCTCTTAATTCCGCTGCACTGGATTAAAAAACAACTCAGAAATAGCTGGGAAGGCTGACGTGAACAACATCTCTAATGAGCTTTAATTTTCTTAGTGAAATGCTTAATGAAAATCTGATGAAGAGGATACTCAGACTATATAAGATGGTGGTAACAAACCCAGCCCTCCAACAATGCAGTCACTGCAGAAACTTTAAAGAGCTCGGGACTAGAGTTTAAAGAGCTGAGCACACATAGATAGGCACAGGTACACATTTTAAGGACTGCTCAGCACTCCGTTGGTACCACTGTGACTCTAAGAAACAGAGCTTTTTTTAAAAAAGAAAAAAATCTAAACCACTGAGCTCTTTTCAAATGTAGCGACTCGTTACCAGACCTAGATGGGAACCAAAGTCCTCTGCAAGAAGTACGATCCATATCAGTTTCTGCTTCTGCAGCCTGCACTCCTCAGGGTTGCCTACAGACACACACTCAGGAAATTACACTGAATTAACGTTTAAAGTGGATTAATTAATTGGCCTCAGTCCCCAACTTATTCACAATCAAGAGGTTTTCAAGTTAACTAAGTTAAAGGCAGTTTAGAGCTCTCAAAGAATTCCTATGCAGGATTTTAATGCCGTTAAAGTAATTTGTTTTAAATTCACATCCTCACTTAATTTGGTGGGGTTTTTTTTAAGCCTTCCTATGTAAATGGGTGTTAAGGCAGCACAGAAAAAGGAGTTTGGGTAAGTAAACTTGTCATTTTTAAAGTTAACCAAAAAAAATGCTTAATATCAGCAAACATTCCCAGATCACTTCGTGAGGGCTCTACCAGCGAGCTTTGAAACTGTGCTGGTTTTTTTTTAAGGGAGCATCAGCACAACAGCAAGAAACTTGTCGAATGGGAACGCTTCGCCGGCAGGTACCCGGCTCTCCGTGGAACGCATGCAAGCGCCAGAAAGTGTCCGCAGGGACGCCAGGCCTCTCAGCACTTTAAGTGAAACCGAACATTGTCACCCCAAGAATCAGGTAAAAATAACGAGACCACCCCAGGCCCCCTGCGGGCCCGGGAGAGCAGGAGGCGTGCCAAAGGGCGTCCCTGGCCCTGGGTGGGATGGGGTCCAGGCAGGTCCGACCGCAAGGGTCACAGCAAACACAGGCAGAAACGGGCGCGTTTGTACCTGTGACAGCCACGACGCAGGCATCCTCCGCCTGCCTGCCTGGAACCACTTCTGCAGGGAAGCAGGCCCATGGGCACGGACCCTCTGGCAGTCGCTGAACTGTACTGTATTTACTACGATCAGCTTTTTCTTTCTGTGGCTGGAATTTTTAGTTACTACAAAAATGCGTCTCTCATTGCTTCGCTTTTCTCAGTTGCTGCTTAAAAATAAAAGGTTTGTGTTGGTTGAAGTCTATTTGTTGTCAGCTGGCTTCATGTTTAGGCGGCCTGTAACACCTCGCGTCAACAGGAAAACCCTCAGCTCTTACTGTGAAACATTGCAGGCCTAAATCTTAAAGGTTGGAAAACGGGAGATAAATTATTTATTCAGACTTCAGTATCTGTCATACTTGCTTGCATTAACAACAGTAAACTGCAAAAGCAGACAGCACACGACCGGTGCAACGGGCAGCGGGACTGCTGGCAAGGCACAGGCCGCAGAAGGCTTCTCTGCAACCTGACCACAATCTGCTGCAGCCGCTGGGCCCTCTTCAGACTGAAACACAACCAAAGTAAACGCGGATCACATCGCTAGGCGAGGCCTCCAGCACAGCTGATTTTAACTTTGTTCCTTTATGTGAAACCATCACCTGTATCTGAAGCACAACAAATGACACCTAGAGAACACAGTCTAGCTGTTGCTCCCGAACCCAGTTTATTTCCCACTTTCCACTTACAGAGTGATGAGGTGTTGCCCTTCGTTCCCTGCTACTGCTGTCCTAAGTGCTGTGGGAGCACGCTGACTGTCCTTCTGCCGGCAGACCTGGCCATAATTTGACCAAGCACAGGATTAGTCCTCTACTCACACAGAAAAACAACTCCAAAACAAGATGTGCATTTTGTCTGCGAGATTCTAACTTCACTGTTTATTGCTCTACAATAGCTAAAAAAATAATAATCCAGACTTGCATACTCTTTGGAGGACCTATTGCCAATACTCCATTGCATTCGCCTGCTTTCAGAGGACAACTTCACTACTTAAAGCTCACTCACAGTGTAATTCAGTGAACTCAAAAAGAACCACCTCCATGTTATTATCAGATTTCATCCACATATTAGGTTTCATCTGACTATTTCTCATTTGAGAACAGGGCTACACAGAGACACCACAGCTCTGGAATAAATAATTACAAGAGAGAAAGTTTGTCCCAGAGCCTGCACTTACCAGTTACAAGGATCATAGTCACTACACAGGTTAGTACGTGAAGGAAGGACTTGATACATAGAAAGGCGCTCTTTAACTGCTCGCGTTTGCTAGCTAGACAAGCTTTTTTTAAAAGAATATGACCAGAACTGGAAGCCTGAAGAGAAGGCACGCTGTGCTTCCTGGATATTCAGGAGTCTACAGAAAGAATTCACTGGAGCCCTTAAAGCAGTATTAAGACAAACTAAAGCAAAACAAGAGTATCTGTGGGTTAAGCAGCAATATAACGTTTCTTTTATCTCAAATAAATTTAACCGGATCAAAAAGCTATTTAAAATGCAACCGAAATTATTGTGGAGATTTTAGGGTTTTGCTTATATTATAATGGAAACAGTATTTGCTGCCTTTCAGTGCTTTGTATACATCCTAGTGTGTCTAAATGAATGCGGAAAACAGCAGCACTGAGCTTCTTTGTTGTCAAAACCGCACTCCTACTCCAAGCAGGGACTTCATTACAAAGCTATTTTCAGCAGGCGTTCAGCTGCTCGGATGGAAGCAAGCAGATACTCCTGTTTGCGCTGTGCTCCTGTCGGAGCACGACACAGCGCAAGAGGGGACGAGGCTGGAGTCACACGTGCAACTCCAAAGCCCTCACACCAATCCGAGCTGGAAGGCAAACGCGCTCTGCTGCATAATCCACTTTTGAACATGGATTTTGAGCTTTTTGAAAGCACACAGCTCTCGCCTGGACATGCAGGCAGGCAGCCCTTGGGCCAGAGTTGGGCAGCACGGACTGCTTTGGAAATGCCACCTCTCGTGCGAACTGCAAGTGCTTTTTAAGGACTGAAATAATTCCGGGTGCGAGTAGTTCCTGATTGCACAGATTTTCAGATAAGGATGGAACTTAAAGAACGAGCTGCTTCTCATCACACACCGTCTCTCCAGGTGCCTCTCGCACAGATGCAGCAAGCTGGGACTGCCGTTCCATCGCTCGTGCTTTAAATGCGTCTGCCAGACCGCTTGCTACCTCTGGCTTTTGTACAGGGCTGAACGAGAAATGTCTCCTTCCACCAGGAAATCTGCTTCACTACAGCAAATGGAAATTTACTGTTGACTTTACCAAGTCCACGTTTACACGGGTCTTAGCAACAACTAAAATGACAAGGAATTTCTATTTCTACAAAAACCAAAGTTCAGAATAATTCACTGAAGTGCAGCAGTTGCATGCAGGTATGAGCCTAATCAAATGCTTAGCAGCATGTATGACAACTGCTGTGAGAAGGCTGTGCTTTTTTTTTTATAATAAATATCAATGCCACAAAACTGTGCCCTTCTCAAGAGGGTCTTTTAAATAATGTAAGTAATTTTGGAGCAAAATACTAGTAATCCAAGTAATTAAATTTATGCATGGTATAACAGTAAGACATTTAAAAAACATAATTATCAGGTATTCCCCGTTGAAAAATATAATAGATAACAGTAGACGAAGCCCAACATTCAAACACATCTAACAAAAGTAATCAGCGTCAGTTTCCCCGAGTAAGTTCTTGTCAGAGGGAGAAACACATCACTTCCTTCTCATCTTTTCAAGTAAAAAATTTATCCTCTCCGTGGCTTTTAAAACGCCACCCAAAGGGGCTGTCAAAGCAAACAGAGAGGAGCTGCCTGTTGGGAATACTCACTGAAGGGAGACAGTGTTTTGCTGCAGCTTCATAAAATTTTAAATCTGTGCATGATTTTGGATTTCCTTACCCACTGTCTCCAGCTGCCTTCTCCTGCTCCGGTGTTTCTTAAAGTGACCCAATTATTGTCACCTAATTAGTGCTGGAGGAAAAAAAGGGCTTCTGTCAGACAGAACTCCTTAAACAAATTAGTAAGGTCCTTAAAGACATGAATCGGGGTTTACAACCTATTGTAAAGATTCATGCATCAAATATGTTCAGATTTGTGAGACAAAAGGAGTGGAAAATGAATTGAAATTATTTACTGCTGAACATAGCGAGACTTGTGAAAATACTGGCAGAGAAGTGTACAGTAGAGATCCTTATCGCAGCAGTTCAGCCACAGGTGTTTCCCCATATTACTAGGTTATCCTTATCCAGAATAAATATTTAATGTTAGTATTAACAAAGAAAATCTGTAGCTCCAAGAACAATCTCTGTGTATTTAAAGCTCAGTGATGATTATCCACTTTAAAATCAATTGAATTGTAAGTATTCAACAATTTTACACAATACAGATTTTCAAACTGTAAAGAGAAAGCTCCCAGTCCCCAGAGGCGCCTCTCCACGAGCCAAGCCTCCAGCCAGCTCTCCCTCCTGGGACCAAACCCACCCGCAGCAATACTCTTCTGCTGCCTCGGCCGACTTTTTTTCCCCCCAGAGATGCCTTCACCACGCACAAGCGATGCGTTACCGTGCCGCACCCACCCACTGCCATGGAGGCCAGGGTTCCTGACAGCCCTCTGTTGCTCGTGCCTCTCGGGAGATTGCCCTTCAACTCACAGACTCTTCTCCTACTTCGTAAATCCCTTCCGCTTAGTGGCTCAGCACAAATTTACCACCCAGCACCAACAGCAGGGCTGAGTCAAGGTGCGATGATTCCAGAGGAATCATTTGAGTGCACTCACGTTTGACACTTGATGACCCGTGAGTTAAGGTTGGGTCCTGTCAGAGCAGGAGCTGGGCAGGCTCAGAAGACAATCCCCAAGCCTGACACCCACAAAGCCTGGGGCACCCTTTCTGCCAGTGACAGAGCTTTGGGTTTTTGGCAGGGGATGTCCAAGAATCCCCCTCACTATGTTAAAATTCCCCAGAATATTAGAAAGACGCAGCAGTTGGATGGGGTCACGCTCCTACCAAGAAAGTCTAAAGCCCACCTTTGTGATATAGAAAACACCAGGAATGGATTCTCAGGGTATTTTGGATGTCCAAAGAACACAGAGCCCAGCACAGGCAGTGGGATCTGCAGCTCAGGGGACACTGAGAACATCACACAAGGTTCGCTGGATGAAATGAGAAAATGGGTTTCCTGCTATAGCCTTCTTTGAGTTGGCATACGAGTGCCAAAATGGATTTGGTTATTTTCCTGCAGCTTAGATACTAGGTGTTTCTTCCCAGCTTTAAACACTTGAATGCTCTCGATACACACCTACCCACAAACTCAGCTCACATGCAAAGCTCCCATCTTTTTTCCTAATTCTCAGGAGGAGAGTAACAAAGAAAGAAAGGGTAGAAGAGACATAGGCTTCTACTGCAAAACTTCCTCTTTTCTTTATTTTCTAACTCTCAAAGCTCTTTGTAGCTTTCTCATTTTCCTAATTTTAACCCCTTTATCATGATTTTTGTCTGACAGGTCTTTCACCACCAGTACATTCATGCTTGACTTCCCGCCTCTTCTCTCCCCTTTCTATACCCCGTGTCTTGCACACCCCACCACCCTCGCAGCAAACCGACTCTGTGTAAACGCCTTTCCCTCCGCCACTGAGCACAGAGACGTATCCCTCCTTTCCTGGGGGAATTTGCCCCTCTCTCAAACTCTCCTACTTTCTTTTCTTATGAGTTACTGAGCCTGCAAGTTCTACTGACCTCTTCCCTTTTACTGACTCTTCCCTTTGCATGAGTCTTTCTCAAAATTTTATGAATGGTTTGGGGAAGATGAAAATCA